CCGATTTCTGCCCATAGCTCCTCGATCCATCAAATGCCCATCCGTCCCTCCTGGCCAGTCCTCCCTCCTGGCTTGCCATCCCTTGGTCCCTCCCTTGGTCCCTCCCTCTCTATCATACGCATCTGCATGTCGATCCGTTTCTCCATCTCTCCCCTCCACCCCTCCTCCTGCAGCCGTCCATCTCTCAATCTAGCCATGCCTCTGTTCCACCCTCCATCCGTCACTGCACCCCTGCATACCTCTGTTCCGCTGTTCGCTTGTCTGTTTCTCCCTTGTGCTCATCCAACCATTAACGCACTCCTCTGCCAATTCATCCGTTCCCCCATTTATCCCTCCATTTGATGCTCCAATCATCTGCCCATCTCTTTCCCCCTCCTTGCCTCCTGTCATCTTTACATCCATCCATCCAGCCAGCCATCCATCCCTCTCCCCCGGCCCTCTCGCCAACCCACCATCCCTACGTTCATCCGTCATTCTGTCCCTCCCTCTCCATCACGCTGACCCTTCCTCCCTCCTCCTCTCCTTTCATCTTTTCCATTCATTCATCCATCCATCTCCCATCCCTATTGCCAACCTCCATCCTTGTGTCCATCCTTCACTGTGTCCCTCCTCTTCGTCACTCTGACACTTCCTCCCTTTATTCCATGCTTCCAGAAATTTGGGTTAACAGGGTCTGCACGTTGTATAGATCAGCATCTGGATGATGTCCAACCTATTAGCCTAACATCCAAGAAACTTCATTTTGTGATCCGGAGAAAAATGAGAAGCGATGTTTATAGGGTCGGCGGCCTAGCTCAGTTCGCAGAGCACGAAAGCGGCATTCAGGAGGTCATGGGTTCCATTCCCCACGTTTTCCATTCAGACCCCCACGGCCTCCAGCGGCACGCTGAGGGTTCACCAGCTGAGATAGTCGGCTTGCCCCCTTTGGTTGATCTGGTAGGGGCCATCCCTTCATTCCATCCAGCCCTGGCCAGGGGGTTAGGTCCGATCTTTGGCAGAATGAGATGTTCCTGCGGTGCTTAGGCACGGGTGCAGGTCAGTGTCAAAAAACGATACACAGAAACCCGGGAGAAGAGTATAGCGTAGGTTTTTTTATTTTATTATATTAAAATCGATTTATTTTATTAGATTAAAACTCTGGATAACCGGCTTTAGATAGGTAGCTAGTGCGAGGTAAAAATCGAGAGAAGAATATAGCGTAGTTTTTTATTTTATTTTATAAGTTTTAATATATTATTTAAAAAAAGAAAAGAGCGACAAGCGATGCTTATAGACAAGCAGAAACCCTGGATGTTTTTTGGACGTTAGGCTTCACAAACAAGCAGAAAGGAAAACAAGAGAAGCAATGTTTATAAAACAAGCAGAAGCCCCACAAACGGGTATTGGCACAAAGCATTCATTACCTCGATTGTATCAAGTATTGCAGATTTCACATCTTCCAGCCCACCAACATCCTCCCATTTTACATTGGGCACCTGGATTGCAACACATGTCACAGACACGTAAGCACCAGCATGACCACACAGTAACCCACCCCCACCAAACGTTTCCACATCAAACATCAACTTTTTCACATCTAAATTGGATCTACTTATTCTCTCATATATTTTCTCCATATATTTTCTCCTATATTTTCTCATATGTTTTCTCATATATTTTCTCATATATACAGGTAATGTTTTCAAAATTCAAATTGAAGGATATGCAGTTATTATGCACATATTATGCAGGTTCCACTACGGCAGGAACGCCTTCCAAGCTCACTGCACAACGGATGGATAATAGGGTAAGCAGTGTAAGCAGTACTACGCAGTACTAAGCACTAAGTATCTGAGAGAAAAGAATTCAATCTATCCTTGCAAGGAAACATACAAATAATGTCACAAATCAGAAACTACAATTAATAAAATGTCAGAGGCTGTAAGTGGTTCGGTGATACTGCACCAAACAATGAACAAAAGTGTATGCATCCTTGCCTCAAAGTTTGAAGGTGTAACTGGGGCTACGCTGGAAAGTCTGTCCACACAGATCTGGACACCTGACCCCACACACCCCGAAGAAATCCAGAATCCGGATCGATACATGTTACATGCCCAGTTGGGCGATGTACATAATAACTGAGGATCCGCAATGTGGTAAAAAGGACTGAATGGACAATGCAGTTGTTGTTGTTGTTGTTGTTGTTGTTGTTGTTGTTGTTGTTGTTTTCCCGCAAGCGCCGAAGGTTAGCGCTAAACGCCGACCAGCGCCCGGTAACTCCCAGCGATTCTACCACGGCGCTTCGCGCCGGGCAGGACGTTCACGCGGAAATTCGAACAGCACTCGAATTTCGCCCGCATCTGGATGCGAAGCAGGGAAAGTTCAGCCACGCCCTCGGGCGTGGCGAGAGACAACCATAGCCAGTGGAAACAACTATCCACCGTCATCATTGTCTGCATCTCAACCATCCACACTCGACAAGACTCAAACACCAACTCGGCAAGGGAGAGGAGAACACTCGAAAGGACGCATAATTCCGTGAGCGAGATCAAGAAGAGGAGGTGGCGAAAAAAGAAGGCGAGAAAGGAGAAGAGACAAAGGCGAATAATGAGAGAGAAAAAGAGAGGAAGGCGAGTGGCCTAAGAACAACAAGCAGACTATTTCAGGCAAGTGAAGAACGAGGACAACGCAGACAGTTCGCGAAATCGTCCGATTCAGAAGAGTCGGAAGGCCACAGCGAGTGTCAAGTCCTCAAGAACAACCAGACAAGGAAGCCGACAAGGAGAAGAGAACGGAGGGCAAGAGGTATCGAAGAGGGCTCGGGAAGAGTCGATGAAAGAGAATAAAGTTAGTCGGAACGTACCTTATTGCCATCGGACGGAACAGATCCACCACGCCCTCGGGACTACAGCGACAAACAACCCGAAGCTGTTCGGGAGGCACACTCAAGTTCAGGCAGTTATCTCGTCCAAAATCTACCAGTCTCTTCCCCAATACCGGGACTGTAGCTCTCGCCTAATGTATTCTTGGCACTGAAATACTAAACTCCCGTCCATACCCCTACTCAGCCCCCATACTACTCCAATCCGGAACCCCATCCAACTCTCTCTCCCATCCCCGTCCTGCCCCAAACCCATCCCCATTCCGACSCGGGCTTACCCCGACMCCGATCCCACCAACACCCCACCCTCTGCTTCGAKACTATCCCCCGTYTCTATCCCGAKCCCACTAAACAATCCCGACCCCATCCTATTACGGTTCAAGACCCAACCTGAATCTGCTACATCCACGATCCCGTCCCATCTCCACGCACCATCTCCCAACATCGTCCTTTCCGATCCCCGTACTATCCGTTTTCTTAATTCCCTYCCCATCCCGTTATCAGCATAGTCGACTTCCCTGCCCCATCMCGGTCCCTGCCTCATCTCATCCTCACTCCGCCCCGCGCCTACCCAGTTCCCGATTTCTCTCTCGACCCATCCAACTCCCAACCCGACCCCGATCGCAGAACCGCTACCCCCAAGGCCCAGTCCCGAACCCATCCTGGGCTCGATCTGTTACACATCCTGGTCCGATTCCCAACCCACTACTACCCTGAGCTGCGCCCAACCCCACTCTAACCCCGCGCCCGCCCCAACCACATTCCCCACTTGCAACTGACCCACGATCCACTCCCTGCCCGTTCCCGTAACAGCCCTTCTTAGCTATAGACTAGATCCCAACCCTGGCCCTGAACAACAGCCACTCTGATTCCACGCTACCCTAATTCACGCCCCACCTCCGTCCCGTTTCCTACTTCCTTCACATTATTATTACTATTATCATTATTATTATTATTATTACTATTATTATTAGTATTAATAATTTAATATTATTAATATTATTATTATTATTATCGTTATTATTATTATTATCTTTATTATTATTATTATCTTTATTATTATTACTACTACTATTCTTCACCACTAAGTTGATTCTCCCCCGCTCCCGTTCCCACCCCCGTTCTGTTCCTATCCCCGCTCCAGTCCCCACCCTCGTTTCCGTCCCCATCCCCGATCCAGAACCTATACCCGATCCTGATCCTACCTCCGACCCAGACTCCATCCCCGATCCTAGTCCATTCCTATCCCCTCCCCAATCTTTGTTAGAGATTAGATTGTGTCTCGAAGCTCGCTTTACCCCCCACCCCATCTCCGTCCGCATCCCCAGCTCATCATGTTCGAGGGATTCCCTGTGCACCTAGATCTCTGCCAAATCTTCCAAAACCTGTACCCGTCTGGGAAAGCCTATTAGTCTGAAGTCCAGTGCTGGCCTGGCCTCTCGTTAGTCCAATCCAGATCGCAAAGGGAGATGGTGTTAATCAGTAAGATGGAAGGAATGGGAATGGAAACGCAGAATTGGCTGGCGGAACAGACCAGAACTCCGCTAGTGAAGACCACCAAACGCATCGACCACGGCGGAAACAATAAAGAAGAAGTGGTAATCTATGAATGCCCCAAAGAACTGACATCGAAACAGGAAGAGATCCACCAAAAGCACGCAGTTCTGTTCACTTTCTCCAAAAAAAGCCAGGAACTGGACAGACAGGCCAAACTAAAATGGATATGGGAAAAGTTAAAGAGTTTGGAACCAGTTCAGGGGCAGGAACCCAAAGTCTCGTTTCATCCGAGATCCAGGAATGTCATCATGGTATTGTGCATGGAGGAGCAATTGGGTCCTTCCTGAAGAACAAATGTTTCACCTGCAATTCGTCAGTCGTCACAGTGCACCCGTGGAAAAAAGCGGCAAACATCTAACAAATTCCATTCAGGTACAGACAGGAGTTAATCAAAAAACATTTCTGGATTCAATTCGACAATGTCCCAGAAGGAATGCACGGAAGTATTAAGGAGAGGGTAAGAATGGAATATGGCCACTTCACACAAACGCACTGGATAGTTTCGACGCCATACTTCCTTACTCCCCACCACAATCAGATGACAGCAGTGCTGGAGACAGGAGACAGCCCGCTGCCGTTTGTACCAGATGAATGGTTCTTTTCGCAGGAAGGCAAAGTAATTAGGATAACGGTGTCCAGTAAAACTAATCCGGTATGTTTTAAGTGCAGACAGAGAGGCCACTTGGGTACTGACACCAGCTGTCCGAAAACAAGGGAGAACGCAAAACCGAAGGCCCTCAAAACTGCAAACCTGCAGGAAGTACCGAACAAGCAAGGCTACTGGTTCGTTCCAGAGGCACAATACGCGGGTTGGGTCTTCAAYSACAATCTGGATTCACCAGACTGGGTATGGACCATAGCAGGTGAACCGACCCCCAGACCAGAAGTCTATCCGCCGTACGACAGCAGGTGGCAAGCGCTGAAAACGGAAAAGAAAGCACCCAAGTGCTTCACCAGGGACCCAGTCATCAACGTAGAGGCCCTGAAACAGGAAATGTGGGAGAAGGACCTTTGCGCTGATCTGCAAACAATTCAGGAAACAACGGAAAGGGAGTGGGTAGAAGCTGTCAAGAGATATCAGGAGGAGGAAAGGTCAAAAGGGGAACTCCCTAAACAAAGAACTTACTGCAGAAGGGGAAAGAGAGGGCAGCAAAAGTCTGAGTCGGAACAAACAGCGGAAAAGGAGGGGACGGATGAGTCCATGGAGGGTGAGAAGGCAGCAGTCCAGGGGGAACCCGAAGGGGGAGAGAAACCCAGCGTGGGGGGAAAGAGAAAGCACACGGACGGGCAAAGGGACAAAGATGATTCAGATGATGAACAAGGGCAAACGTGGAAGGAAGGTTACCCATGGTCTGGTCAGCAGGAAAAGGAACTGTTGGCCTATATTCAGAGCTACGAAAAGGTGAGACAAGAAAATTTTGAATTACAGTTAATCCTGCACAAAGAGGAACAAAAGAATAACTTGAAGACAGCAGCACCGAACACATCCCAACTGATTCCGCTGTCGGAGAACCCCTTCGCGCCTCTGTAGAGGGAAGAAGAGCTGTCAGCGTTCTTGGTCGGAAAATACTGTGAATCTAAAGAAGATCAAATAATGGAAGCAACAGAGAAAGGGTGGAAAGAAATGAATGAGAAGAAGCAAAGGGCGGGGAAGAAATTGCAGAAGTGCAAACCCTCACAGATTCTGCTGGAGCAGACAGATCAGCCTGGGAGAGAGAAGAGCGAAGTGAATGAGGACTTGAACAAAGGCCTAACAAGGGAGATGCAGCTGGGCATCCAGGTGGAAGCATTATATGCTCAAAACATGAGACTGACGGATCTGAACGGAGAAATCTCGCTGCGCACAGTGACGGTCCAAGACCTGCAACACAAAGATCATGAGGCGTTTTGGGAAAGAGCCAAAAGGGAGGCGAGCACGCTCTTACCATCTCGGCCAATCATCCCGGTGCAATGGGACCCGCTAGAGGAGCAATGGAAGGTAGCAGTGCAAGAGGATCTCTCTGTCCTCAGATGGCAACTGGGACAAAAAAAGGAGGACTTGCTGAAGAGAGTTAGCAA